CATGGGACTCTTAATCCATATTTGACACAATAAAAAGTTTATACTAAAATTGCCCTTTAATGTGGGGTGATTGGGAAAAAAAAAAGGTTTTTAATTTATCTCTCTCTCAATCTCCCTCACACTCTTTCACTCACAGTTATATTTATCTGCTCAACAACTATGCGATTTGAAAATAAATAAAAATTGTTTTTGGTTTCTGTATTTACATTATCTATATCAATTTCTCTCATTCTCTCTCTACCTATTGTTCTCCCTCAATCTCTTTATCGATTGATCTCTCATTCTCCCTTAATTTATATCGTTCTCCCTCAGTTTCTCTCCTTCTCCCTCTCTATTTTTTTTTTATTTTTATTTTCTTACACACTTATATGATATTAATCAAATTGTATAAAAGAACATGAGACCAACTTGGTATGGTTCAAAAATGATTACACCAATTTGATAAAATTCACAAGAAACTCTTGGCTATGAAATTTACACCAATTGGAGAACGATATTGATTGGGGGAGAAGGAAATTTTGACCAAAAAGGAGAGTGAGGGAAAAAATTGGGATGCATCAGTGGGGTCCCGATTTTCGAGACATGCTCGATTTTTTAATAAATGATTGAACCAAACAATAAGATACATATGCATTTGTTGAAACACCTATGTGGATCCGACGTGGCACTGTTTTTTTTTTAAATGGCCACAGTTCCAAATATCCCCTCAATTATTTCATTTTAAAGTAGAATGTTTTGACTTGGGTTCAGCCATAATCAATTGGGTCTACATATGCAATGCCACATACACTATACATATAGTGGTTAAAAGTATCAACAAAATAATGTTGTCGTTATTATTGTTGATGTTTTAGATAACATATTATTTTTTTAGGGGAGGGGTTAACGGTGGCAAAGAAAAATCAAATCCATGGGTAAACCTTGAAATCAATCTTGAAACCGCTAAGGCCAGAACCAAATCCATGGGTAAACCGATTCCTCAGCATAAGCAAAACAGATGATACGGGCTGATACATTGTCACTTTTTTAAACATTATCATTACTCACCCATTAAATAATAAGATTATTACCCAAAAAATAATAAGATTATTTGCAGTATTAGTCTAAATCAACTTTAAATCTTTATACACCTATTATCTCTCTCATCCCTCGAACTCACACCAATAAAAATGAACGACCCCTTTATTTGCCCAGACTTGATCTATCATATTATTGAAGATATATAATATTCACATTTGTTCACTAAAAGAATTAATCTTAGAGCTTTATAAGCAACAACTCTTTATATATGCAAACCACATAAAATTCCCAAAACCCAGACCCTCCCTGGTATTAATCCAATTTAGTGGTTGTATTTATTTGTTGCTTTTTATGTTTTCCGTAAAAGGGTATTACCATCCCTATGTTCGTTGGAGTCAAATAGTCTAGGCTTGGTTTAAGGTCAAACCGGACACAATTGGGCATAAGGCTTAAGGTCAGGCATAGACTAAAATTTGATAGATTCCGATTAGGTTTGGAGGCCAGTTAGATTGTAATGAAAATATATATACATATATATATGTATATATGTATGTATACTTGGTTTAGACTCGAACTGAATTAAGATTGAGCTGGGCTAATGATGGGCATAAGCTACCTAAGGACTAGCTTGAGTTCAGCCAGAAAAACAGAAAGGCTAATGTTTTGGGACAAACCAAATCCAACGACCAAGATTTCGAGCCCAGTTCATGTAAAATAGTGGACTTAATTGGTCTGAGCTTTTGATTGGGCCTGCCCAAATTACACTCCGTATAAATAGTATGGACAATTAAAAAAAAAAAATTATCATATTGAATATAAAATTTCAACAGTGTTGTGGATTCTATTTTTGTTTAAGAAAAACCTAAAACAACATAAAAGATCAAAATTATTTATTTGGTTATAACATCTTCAATTTGATGGAGTAAAAGTTTTATGGAAAGAAACAAAAACTATCATTCAACGGCTCTACAGTTTTACTTGCTACTTCATCAAGCGGTACCCGATACTGCATTCTACTCCACTTGAAGCCCAAGCCCATAATAAGGGTTGAAGCTAGTAGCTAGATTTTGAATTTTTTATTGAATAAGGATGCATGCCTTAAAACTTAAAAGTTAAAAGTCATTTGGACCGTTTGTCAGATCATTAACAACAAGATATTAGATTCCCCTAAATTAAGGAGTCCGGATCTGTCCTTTTATACCAACTTAATATGTCCCCGCCATATATTGGGAACATCTTCATTACATGTGCATCCCAATACACGAGTTCGGATATGCTCCTCATAGCATCATGTGCGAGAGATGTTCTCAACACATAACTGCAATGCACTGTGAGGCACTTTCTATGAGAAGCAGATCTAATCTCCCAATATACTGTGGGATGTGTTGTGAAAGAGCAACAAATGACTGTCTGCCAGCACTCCATATTCCATGAGGTGCACTATGTGAGGAGGAGATATGGACTCTTCAGAGACAGTGGATATATTTTGCCAAGACAAGCCTAATTGGTTGCACCATCATAACAAATTGGGATCTACTCATCATAGAGTGCATCTCACACTGAACTTCACTGGCACATATCACTGTAAATTAGGAGCATCTCCCATGAATAATAACACATAAATGTGGGAAATGTTCATAATACATAATACACGGTGAGATCAGAGATGTACCTGTGAGATTGATGTGAAAAGTATTGTGTTAGAAGCAAATCTGGTCTCCGTCATAACACACGATACACATCACATGTTTGGTTCTTGTTCATGCGAGTTTTTTCCTCGAAGCCCTAATTTTTTTAATGGGCCCCAGCCTCAAAACCGAAAGTATCATACATGGATGATGGACATCATATCATTCACACCTGCTCCATCTAAAAGAGGATAGCGAAAAGGTATTCATTCTTTTTTGCATACCCGATGTTTAATTTTGATTGGTATGTTGCGTGTGCACCGTAGCCTTTTCCATTGGCTGTTTTTTTGGTAGTTTTTCCATTGGGTGCCAAAAAACGTAACTGCATTCATCAAAATGACAAAAAGGGGTCTGAATGGATTGATGTATCATGTGAATATCACTATGATCTCCTACCCAACAATTCTACCCATAAAACACTATCTTCGTGAATTGGGAACATTTTCCCATGTATAATGTGTGGCTGTAACATGGTTTTTAAAACCGGATTGGATCGGGCGGTTAGACCGAAAAAACTGGAAATCGGTCACCAGTTCCATTTTACCCCATAACCGTTATCTCACAAAAAAATAAAAAATCATTGATTTAGTTAGCAAACCGCTTACCTGGGTGGTCAAACCATTTGAACCGTCCAATAGTTTGGCCGTTTTTTTTAATCATAACAGGCCATTCATTCGGTTCAAACAGACTGATTGTTCAACCCATGAACCGGAACCCTTACCAGTTTGTTGTCCGTTTTGGTTTTAAAAGCCTTTTGGCTATGATGTTATGTAGGTGGATGTGGGTAGAAAAATCCATACTATGCTAAAAACCCTCTTCAACAACTTGGGCTGTTGGGCCCCATTACCCAAAGTATTATCCATGTCCAAGCTCACAAAACTCCCTCTTAATACGGGCCAACATGATTTGTGCCTACACATCTTATATCAAACTAGGACCCATTATGCATGTGATATGGGGAATTAGGGCTCCTTGCACCAAGCTCACAACCACATCCCACCATATACTAGTAACATCTCCCATGAACAATGTATATTTTGAAAAAGTGGTTAATAAAATCTTTTTTTTTTTGTATTTGTTGATAGCTATATGCCATTAGGCACCACATAAGCATAATAGTAAATAAACATCTTTGTGTTGGGGGAAATGTTTAAATGAAGCTTCCCCCAATGATTAATTTGCATGTAAACCAAGACAAACATTTATAAGATAAATAAACATACGAAGTAGCATCATGGGACAAATGTTCACATGGTACCATTTATTAAATAAAAGGAAACCATACCAAATACCCTGAATAGTATACAAGTATTGGAGATATTCACAATGTGGGGGGTGCTCTATAAGGAGCAAATCATAATTTGATATGGGGATACAAATTATATTGGGAATCTGGATCACCTGCCAACAAAATACGCTTAAAACTCTCTAACAACATCATTTGACATCGCACATCTCATACATGGAAGGTTCCACTTTTATGGTAAGCCCCAATTTCATGGTGGGATGTGTGATGTAAGATCAAGTTGGTTGGGTGTTGGGACATGTTTTGCAGGCATGATATCCTAATTATTATGTTCCAACATGTTAAAGGGATTTTTATTGAGTTCAAATTTGCTACCAATTAGTGCTCACAATGTACCAATTAGCCATTATAATCCCATACATATCCCATGAATGAGAAGGGTGTTGGGACATGTTTTGCAGGCATGATATCCTAATTATTATGTTCCAACATGTTAAAGGGATTTTTATTGAGTTCAAATTTGCTACCAATTAGTGCTCACAATGTACCAATTAGCCATTATAATCCCATACATATCCCATGAATGAGAAGGGAGATGTTGGGTTGCAGTAGCCTGTTGGGAGCGTTTATTGCTCACAATTCCCTATCTATTTTGTTGGTCTAACAAGAAAACTTCCGTACAATGTTTTAAAAACCAACCTAAAGGCTGAACCTTTTTTGCCTTTGGGTTGCAAGTCATCAATTCGATCAATCAAGTTGAACAGTTTAGACTATACCACGTCAGCATATATATATATATATTAATGTGCCAGGTTGGGATCTCCTACCCACAAGAACCCAACCTCGCATACTAAGAATATCTCACGTACCATTCATAGGAAGATATTCCCATGTATAATTGTAATATCCTATCCAGTGTGGGTGGGTAGGATTATTGTGGGCAGGAGATCTGATTATCTGAATTGCGAGCTGATAAAGTTATGTTGGGCCAGTGTTGGGAGGAGGTGATTCTTAAATCGGTGCAAAACAATCTAATAACTCACAATCTGAAAAAAACTCGCCATCCATTGGCCACTTGAAAAGGAGAGAGATTTTTTGGTAGGAGGGAGAGATCAATTACGAAGAAATATAATTAGAACAAATTTTCAGTCCGTGCGAGTTTTGCCCAAAAAACTGCCACATATAAGTACGAATTCTTTCCAATATCACCATTAGCGCCGATCTCTTTCAGAAAGAGGGCGGTAGAGGGCAGAGGTAGACTAGAGAGAGAGAGAGAGAGGAGATGGTCAGTGTAGGTCAAGTCGGATCAGATCTGTAAAATCATCTCCAGCAGCAATTTCAGGTGTGGAGCCTTGGAGAATTCTTGTTTACATCGTTTGGCATTTGAAGCGTTTCGAATAGGTACCTTTTTAAATTTATTTTTGCTTTGATTTACGTGGAATGGGAACCGCTGGATTGCAAGGGCTTTGGAAATGTAGAAAGTGGTTCATTAGTTTATACAAGACAGGATTAGATGGGATCTTGATCTAGGGTTTGTGAAGGTAACATCTTCTGTGTGGAAAAACAACGTTCTATTTAGGGTTTTGGTTTCGATTTTGCGCAGTTGCATCTTGCATGAGGCTTTGGTGTTGTTTTGGTTTTGGGGATGAAATAGAAGAGAAAGAAGAAAACATCAGGTGCATGAAAAAAGTCTATATTGCGGTTGAAGGTAAATCTGAGGAGTTTTCGTATGCGGATATGGAAGACGAGGAATCTGGCACTTCAAGAATGGGGGGGCGTGGAACATTGGATGATTCGCCTGATGGGGAAAGTGCCGTTGAAGAATTGCTATCGGAAATAGAAGTTGCCGCGAGAGATCGTCGGGATAACGACACGGCTGGTGACTGTTTCGCTGCATGGGAACTTGCCTTTGGGACTCCTCGTTGTTTTGACCGCTATGCTTCAGCCAGTAGTCAGGGTCTTGTGGATGTTGACGGCTTGGGTATAGCTGAAGAATCTTCCTTGGGTTTGGCAAGAGGGAATCACAATCGGGATTTCCAGCACAAACGGGCTAAAGTTCATTCTGATTCTCCGTGAGTTCCCTCTCGCTATCTCCTTCTTTTGCCTTCTCATTTTACTGAAAAAGTGTGTACATTTTTTTTTAGAATTTTATTTAGGCAAGTAAATTAGCTGGTCGTGGAACTTTTTTTTTTTACTGGGCAAAGTCAATATTTGTTGATTCATTGGATTATAAGCTAATATCTGTCACGTTTGTAGATAAATTTTCCTTCATACTTTTGGTACTTGAGCAAATGTCCCATACTTGCCATAGCTTATCAGCCTTTGATCTCAAACAATCATACGATGCCCACTGTGGGACTGTAAGACTGCATGTATAGGCTGTTGGTTGAACATAGAATCATTGGGAAGAAATAATTTCCTTGGAAAATTCTATTCAGTGGGAAAATGAATTGTTTCCCTAATTTTCATAGTGATTGGTTTAACTTGGAAAACAAGCCCGAATGGTTGAGAGATAATGAATACGTGGGTGTTTTGAACTTTGGATCCAGAGGATCAACCATGTATTTAGAAATAACTGAGAACTAGAAGGAATGTCAATTTTCTAAACCTGCTGCCCACATTTTGGAAAATGTCTGTTTTTCTATGGCCATTGTACAAGCAATCAGCCACTTGAAATAGCAATTTCCAGGAAATTGGTCATCTTCATTTTACGTGCAACTAAATGGTTCCTATTTTTTTCCGAAGTTTTTATTAAGAAAACAAGAAGGTACACACATGGTGGTTCCTGTTCCCAATTGCTTCATAATTTGTGCTTCATGTCTTTTAAGAGTCAATGGAATATGGTACTTTTTTGAGAAGGTAAAGCATTGTATTCTATTAATATAGTAAGCAAAAGAGTACATCATCCCATGTATACTGAGAACCTATACATTGGGAATATACAAAACATGGATGACATATGGTATTTTAGATGGATTATCAACTTTTCTTTGTGATACATGCCCCTTAATTGTTATAGACGTGTCTCACATCTGGTGTATTTATTTGCATGTACCCAACAATTGTATTAAAACCTGTAATTGACTAATTGCCTCATACGTGTCTTTTGAAATTGATCTTCCCCTTGGCCCACTCATTTCAGGTAATTGGCATTAAAAGATTAGAGCATATAGTTTTTTATTCTTTGTTATTATGTTATTTAATACATAGTTTTTTTGCTTGGTATTACATATTACACATTACAAGGGGATTGAGGGGGTGGGACAGGGCAGGATACATGTGAGGTTCACTAAAACATAGTGTTAGATACAATCATATTACACCATTTCAACTGCAGATTACTCTAACCGAACAGTTTGTCTGACATCAGAAGCAGGTTGTGTGGCAGGCCTGGTGTCACACCAACCTAAAGAAACATCTGAAACCACCAGACGTGCACAACCCAGCTATGAACTGTCAACCATCAACATGACAAGTCTGGTGGGTTCGAATCCAATTGATCAGATCATGTGACAAGTGTAAACATGTTTATGCAAAAAAATATTTGTTTTTGGTGCACATGAGGCTTTTGTAATTAGTCTGTCATTTTCATGTAGACATCCATACTTTTTCTTCAAAATTAACAGAACTTTGATCACATTTCCATGGTTCATATATAATTACTTACATATAAGTGAATATACATACACATAGTTTGTCAATCATAAACATGCATGTAATATGTCAATCATATAGCTTAAGTTTTTTTTTTTTTTTTTTTTTTTTTTTTTTTTTTATGGGTGATTTTAGAGAGGTATTCATGTTCCATTAAGTGGTTTCTATGTGATTCAAAACAAATAAATGATTTTATTTATAGGCATAGATATATCGGGGCGAAGAAGTAGTGAGATAGAGTTCGAGGCAAAGAAGTTTATTTTGGAGGAGGGGAAAAGTAGGAAACAATTGGTATTGAAGATTAGAGAGGAAGGTAAGGCTTCTATTTTCTTGATTGGTGTAGCGGTGCTGTGGTTGAAGGGATTCATTGATGGAGGTCTATTCTCTGCGAAGTTTAATGGATGGAGAAGCTCATCAAAGCTACCGAGAGAAATGTATCAGGTGTTTATGAAGTGCAACGAAAAGGGTTGGTTTGTGGAAGTTTAGAGTTTTTTGGTGATAATAATAGAAAACAGTTGATTTGCTTCCCAGAAGGAAAACAAGGGTTAGGCTGGCGGTTGATGTTAGAGAAATTCCAAGATTTTTTATTGTCAAAAGGTATTCGCTTGTTTGAAGGAATGAAGTCGGGAGTTAATCAGGAGAATTCACCTGATAGTTGATTATGGTGTTTCGATGTTTCCCTTCGATGGTAGTAGGGCAAATTTGAATACATGGGATAATATTGTAAACTTCAAAACAGTGGAGACGGATTTGGGGGGTGATGTTAATCAAATGATGGTCTTCTTCTTGTAATAGTAAGGAGTTTAATATTGAAACATTTGAGGTCTTGTTGTTTGGTATCCCTTTCACTCTGTGGAAGAGGACCACCATTAACAAAATCGTAAAAGCTCTGGGAGGTGTGGAAGAGGATTGAAAGGTTAAAGAGAGATGTGGAAGAGGATAAGAAATTTAGTGGGAGAAGGGGAATGGTAGGGGAGTACGTAAGAAGGGAAGAAAGAATAAAAGAGTGGAACAAATTGACCTTTGGGAGACTCGAGGAAAAGAAAGCTAGTACGATTTCTTTGATTGAGGCAATTGAGGGCCCCTATCAGATAGTGATAGAGATTTGCGGTGGTCTATGAAGAAGGAACTAGAAGTTACTCTTCTCAGAGAGTAAATTTGTTGGAAACAATAGTCTAGGGAGAAATGGATCAAGGAAGGGGATGGTAATAAGATATTTTTTTCATGCCATTGCAAATGAAAGGAGGAAAACCCTAATTATTTCCTTAAGCTTGGGGGAGACTTAGATTACTAATCGCACAGAGATAGCTAGGGCCTTTGTAGATCACTTTAGGTCAACCCTTCCTAGCCACTTACTAATAGTTGGTCAATTGAGCGACTTGATTGGTAGACTTTGGGGAATGATCAAGTAGAGATCCGGGAGAAAAGGTATGAAGAGGAGGAAACCAAGGAAGCAAATTTTTCAATGGACAAATCTATAGCTCCGCAACCTGATGGCTTTCCATAGGAGGGGTAAAATTAGCCTGGGAATGAACTTAACTTTTATAGCTTTGGTTTGCAAGAAAATTGGTGCTTCCCACCCCAAGGATTTCCGTCCTATCATCCTGGTTACGAGCATTTATAAGATAATTGCTAAGGTTCTGTCCTTTAGAGTCAAGATGGTTCTTCCCTCACTCATATCTCAGTTTCAAGGGTCTTTTGTTCAAGATAGGCAAATCGTAGATCAGATCCTAATTGCAAATAGCGTGTCGAGGTCCAAAAGTGACTAAGGAAGAAAGGAGTTGTGGTGAAACTAGATGTGGAGAAAGCTTATGATCTCATGCACTAGGAGTTTTTTTATCAAGATCATTAGAAGTTGTGGGTTTGGAGAGTTTTGGTGCAAATGGATAAGAGGGTGTTTGTAGTCTACTCATTATTCAATTCTTGTCAATAGGTCGGTGGTGGATTTCTTTGAAGGAATTAGAGGCCTTAGACAAGGTGTTCCATAAGAGCCAATGCGCTTAGCAAGCTGATCATAAGAGCCAATAACTTGCAGCTGTTTAAGGGCTGGTTAGTTGGAAGGGATAGATTTCAGATAACTCACCTACAATTTGTAGATGATATTCTAGTTTTTTGTGAGGGGGACAATAGGACTAGAGTGGAAAACTTGAAGTTGGTAGTGAATCTCTTCGAGAGGGTCTCCAACCTGAGACTTAATTGGAATACAAGTGTTTTAGTTGGAGCTAATGTGGATGAAGATTTGTTGGGGGAGATGGCAAGTTTTTTGGGTTGTGAGAAAGGCAATTGGCCGATCAAGTACTTAGGGCTCACTCTTGGTGACAACCTCAAATCTTTGAATTTTTGGAACCTAGTGGTGGTAAGGTTTGAGGAGAGGCTTGCTGGCCGGAAAAGGAATTATATATTGTTAGGTGGGAGGATAGCTCTGATCAAGTTTGCTTTAGTAAACCTTCCTGTTTATTTTATGTCGGTTTTTTGGATGCCCCAAGCTATTGTGAGAATTTGAAAAGATCAAGAGAGATTTTTTTTTTTTGTGGGAACTTGATCAAGGGAAGAAAGATCACTTGATTATGTGGGAAAAGGTGTCAAAGTTGAATGCAGAAGGAGGGTTGGGGATTGGGAATATTAGATTGAAAATTTGGGCTTTATTGAGTAAATGGTTCTGGAGGTTCCCAAGGGAGAGTGATAGACTTTGGCACAAAGTGATAGCAAGCATTTATGGGATGCCAAACAATGGTTGGGATGCTTGTTATCTTCATAGAGCTTCCTTGGGAAGCCATCCACGATTGTCTTCTTGTCTTCCTCAATCACATAAGGTATGACTTGGTCTCGGGTCAAAAGGTTAGGTTTTGGGAGGATATCTAGGTTGGGGAAACCCCTTTAGTGGAGGTTTTCCCTTCTCTTTATGATTAGGCTGGTGGCTGATTCCTTTGTTCCTCTCCATTTCCTTTTGATCTAAATTGGAACTTTGGTTTCATTAGGAATCTAAGAGAGTTTGAAGTTCCCCTTGCTTCTGATTTGCTCTCCTTGATGAACTTTGTGGTTCTTGGGGATAGGGGTGTGGATCAGTGTTTTAAAAGCGCAAGGCGCAAGGCGGGGCACGCACCTTTTTAAGAAAGGCACAAAATTACAAAAAAATCTAAAAAAATAAAAAATTCAGAAAATAAATGTTCAAAATTAAAAAATGCAAAAAATATTAAACATAATGTTAATAAAAAATATAAACATAAATTTTAAAATAAATGTTTTATAAAACCAATTATCTAAAATTAAAATACATAAACATAACATGTAAAGCGTATTCAAATGAAAATTTAAAAATAAAAGCAAACATATAAACCATTTTCAAGCATGTAAAACCCACAATCTCTTTTTTAGTCACCTTTGTACCACGCCCCTCGAGGCAAGCCCAAACAAGAAG